CTGGAGATCACAGCCAGGGTCCCAGTCCAGGATGAGCCCCTACAGCCCGGAGATCACAGCCAGGGTCCCAGTCCAGGATGAGCCCCTACAGCCCGGAGATCACAGTTCAGGGTCCCAGTCCAGGATGAGCCCCTAGGTAGTCAGGTCCTATGCTTACTCACGCTCTCGCTGACGTCTCTGTTGTGTGTGCTCCCTGCAGTACGTCCTCAACGACAAGATCTCCTACCCAGAGGGGACCTTCATGGACTGGGAGTTCAAGATCTCAGTGATGTACGACATCGCCAAGGTCAGCTGGCTTGAAGTCACGCCACTCGGGGGGTGTGTCTATATGCACTCGGGGCGTGTCTTTGAGCACCAGTGTGTTGGCATGTCTGTATGCACTCGGGGTGTGTCTATGTGCACCAGTGTGTTGGCGTGTCTGTATGCACTCGGGGTGTGTCTATGTGCACCAGTGTGTTGGCGTGTCTGTATGCACTCGGGGTGTGTCTATGTGCACCAGTGCGTTGGCGTGTCTGTATGCACTCGGGGTGTGTCTATGTGCACCAGTGTGTTGGCGTGTCTGGGTTTTTGTGCTTGCTCATGTGTGGTGGTGTGCCAAGTGTGCTGGGCTCTACAGGAAGAGCTTGGACATCAGCAGGCAGCACTGCAAGGCTTATCTGTGTGTGTGCTTGACTGCCCAGGGCATGTCCTACCTGCACTCCAACAACATCGAGGTCCATGGCCGCCTCAAGTCCACCAACTGCGTGGTGGACAACCGCATGGTGGTCAAGATCACCGACTTCGGCTGCAACACCATCCTGAGCCCTGGCAAAGGTAGGACTGTCATCCTCTCTCTCTCCCCGCGTCTGCTCCGGGCCCCATCTCCTCTGACCTCGGGTCTCTGAGCCGAGAATGGCCACTTCAGTCTGCACCAGCCTGGTTCTAAAGTTGCAGGTGATAAAACCAGCAGCTAATTGGTGCATCATCCAGGTGGTGGTGGAGGGGAGTCCCCATAATCTGTACAGCACTTTGAGTGGAGTGTCCAGAAAGGCGCTATATAAGTGTAAGGATTATTATAAAACTGATTGTCCTAAATCAGGACTGTCCACTGAACCTAAATTTCCTGGAAAGCCTGGCTCTGCCCGTACAGCTCTTGAAAGCAGAATGTCTGCATCTCTGTAAGTAATAAATACCCCTCCTGCCCCTGTGTGCCAGACCTGTGGACGGCCCCGGAGCACCTGCGCAAGGAGGGCATCTCGCAGAAGGGCGACGTCTACAGCTTCGCCATCATCTCCCAGGAGATTATCCTGAGAAAGGCCACCTTCTACACCGAGGCCTGCTCTGACCGGGCAGGTACAGCAGAGCCTCAGCCTTCCCACAACACCCTCCTGTCCTGTACCAGTGCCACAACGCCCTCCTGTCCTATAGCACTGCCACAATACCCTCCTGTCCTATAGCACTGCCACAATGCCCTCCTGTCCTATAGCACTGTCATAATGCTCTTTCTATCCTATATCACTGCCACAATACCTAATCTGTAGCATTGGTGTGATATCCTCCTTGTTACTCTTTTAACATGACCATAATGCCGTTAGTCTATACTGAAAGCATTGCCACAGTGTTGTTTTGCTGCCCTATAGCATTTCCACAATACTCTTACTACTACAGATACCTTATAGCTCTGCCTCAGGACCCTCTGTACTGTCCCTTGGCACCACCACAATACCCTCTACTCAGGGACACGGGGAACCTTGCAGATTCAGTCATCATAGGCTGGTGTCCATTACAGTCACTAACGAGGCGTCTTTCTCTCCCTGACTAGAGAAGCTGCACAGGGTCCAGTACCCGATCGCCCTGTCCTGCGTGTTCAGACCTGACCTGAATTTTGAGACGGCGGGGGAGAAGGAGCTGGAGGTCAGTGCCGTGCTCCCTGTGTTTTAGATCAGATCCTCCCTGTCCTGGTCACCGAAGGCCATCGTCCGCCTGGGCTCTTCCCACTGTCCCCTGCCTCAGATCTCAGAAACCGCTCATTTCACGGAATAATGAGTCCAGGTATCAAATTAGGAGCTCAGGGAGGAGGGTGGGGAGACAATGAAGAGACCCCGTGACCCCCAAACCTTGTTTCTGAGTGAAGGAGCACTGCTCGAGAAGTGCATTCACATGCCCCCCTGGACGCAGAGACGGTGACACCTGTTGGACGGGAGGCGTGCATGACCTGGGGTTTGTTGCTGTCAGGTGTACGTGCTGGTGAAGAGCTGCTGGGACGAAGACCCGGAGAAGAGGCCGGACTTCAAGAAGATCGAGAGCTCCCTGGGCAAGATCTTCAGGTGAGTTCTCCCTTCGGGTCCTCGCTCATTTTCCATCCGTCACAAGACGGACGCCCTTCCCTGTGGGAAGCTACAGGCCTTGGGAGCTCCCACTGCAGTCTTCCTCTTTCGCCTTACTCGCTCCGTGCTTGACCACCACAACGCCCTGCTTATGCTACAGCTCTGCCACGAAGCTCTGGTTCCTTTATGAAAGAAGGTCCTGGGGCATGTCCACTCTTGCGCCATACTCGCACAGGGCTTGACCTTACTCTCTGGCTTCCTGTGCCGCACCTGATGGGGACACTATATTGTAAAAAAGGTGCCTGACTCCCTGTGGTCATTAAAAATCCCAAGGCATTTCTCGAAAAGAGTAGGGGTGTTACCCCCAGTGTCCTGGCCAAATCTCCCCCTGGCCTATACCATGATGGCCTCCTAATAACCCCCCTCTCTGAACTGGCTCCATCACTCTGCTCTCCTCCCCACTGAGAGCTGCTTACCTGCACCACTCTGTGAACTGTGCAGCCCTTGGCAAAGCAGACCCAGGGATGTGGACCAGTGAAGACTCCATTATGGGCATCAGCGCAAGTGGGGGAAGCTTCACTGCTGGCTTTGTTCAGGCCTTGAACATGAGACAATACTCCCATCCCTTTATACACGCATGCCCTGAATATACCAAACAAAGCCTCTCATAACACCCATGTGAGACTGGGCATTTTGAAAAGGGGTTACCCGCTGTGTCTATTTACAATCATTAAAGGGACTTTGGTGGCCTCTAGTGGCAGCTCTGCTGCAACTGCAGCTCCACCTGCTGGCCCATTATGTGCACAGGAAGTCTTGGGCTGGTTCAAGCCCACGTTCTGCCAGTAAGGTTCTGCGTGCCGTACGCTGAGGCTTGTCCCCCCGCGTCCCGGGATCCCGCAGCAACCTGCACAACCAGGCCAACGAGAGCTACATGGACAACCTGATCCGGCGGCTGCAGATGTACTCCCGCAACCTGGAGCACCTGGTGGAGGAGCGGACGGCCCTGTACAAGGCCGAGCGGGACCGCGCCGACCGGCTGAACTTCATGCTGCTGCCCGGGTGAGCGCCCGCCCCCGCTTACAGGACAGGCCCAGGACAGTGTCCTACACCCTCTGTACGTGCATAGGGAATACAGCATAGTGAGGGTGTCAAGAGTACAGTACATACATACCGAGTACAGTGCCTGTAGTGATGGTGTAAGAGTATATACAGTACATACATAACAGTATATACAGTGTAGGGACAGACAGTGAGGGTGTACATCAGTATATACAGTG